GCCAGTAATGTATAGTGGGTAATAGTTATTAATGTACTACATAATATTAAGTACATATAAAAAGTACATAACACTAGTACATATGAAGTATAATGAATTAATGATAATATCTAATGACTAATAGATTTAATAGTAATAAGTAACACTAGTACCAGTGATGTATAGTGAGTAATAGTATTAATATACTACATAATACTAGTACGTACAGATAGTACATAACACTAGGTAACACTAGTAATATATATTTTTCATCAATTATACTGAATTAATTTAATTCAAATTCCTATCAGATTTAATAATACTAGGTGACATTAGTAATATATATTTTTCATCACTTTATTGTATATTCCTTGTAATTATTAGTAATAAAAGATTTTATTAATATCATATCTAATACAATATTTTTTATTTTTTATTTTTTTAAAAGTGGATATGTCAATTTATTACGAATTACTATCAATACTCAAATTTTCAAAGTTTTTTGCACTAAAATATTTTTATTTTTATTTTTAAAAAAAGGTAGTTCGGATTTCCGAAATCCGATTTCACTGTTCATTTATTAAATTTTCAAACTTTTCCAACATAAATAAAATTTTAAGTTTCCCGCCCTTCAGTTTTTTTTTTTAAAAAAAATTATGTTGGGGAAGCTCTCGGATTTCAGAAATCCGAGTTTACTGTACACATTTTGACCTCGATTCCTTTTTTTTTTCAAAATAAAAAATAAATTAATATTTTATTATTTTTTATTGTTAATGATGTGGCAAATCCAAAAGTCTGATTAATTAGACTTTCGGATTTGCCAAATCCGGGACAACTAATTATGTCCACCAAAATTAAAGTAAATTTTTTTTTGTCCACATCAATTCTTTTAAATTTTTTTGGCCGAACGACCCATTTTTACTCAATTAATATAAAACATAGGCGATAGATATATAAAATGCTAAAAAAGCCGAAAGAGTGGCGACCTTTACTTCCGTGTTCTTCGTGAACCCAATTCCCCCTTTACCAACACAAATTTAACAAACAATCTCACACACTCAAACATACAATCAGTACGAGATATGCTCTTGTGGATCTTGAATTGAAGTTGGTTCGAGAGCATTATTCAAACTTTCTACAATGCCTTGCTGTTGCTTCGTACTACCCCAAGGGTTGTGGTTTCATGGACCGTCGGAGCAAAATTTCGTCTTGGGACTTCAAGTGTCAAGTTCTCACTATTGGGGCTCATCTTTTGGTCGTCCCTTGGATCACGGTGAAGGCTTGAGTGAGGAATGATTGAATTCTCAGGGTATGAATCACTGGTGACATTTTCAGCAGAACTAATACAAAAGACTACAGAAAAACAGTAAAGGTCGGAATGGAAATTTCTTTCTTTACTTAAAATGTGTAATGACTTTTGTAATCTTCTTGTTTAGTGCTAGGCTTTTGTAATAATTTTCTTGAAGTGACTAGGAAGGGATAGTAAACCGTATACAAGGTTACATTTTTTATTGCAAAAAAAAAAAAAAAATCGTCGGGCAACTTATGTTACTTACTTGATCTTCAAAAATCTTTGAAAGTTGCAGGGTTTTCTTCCTTTCAGAATTCCTCTTTTCCTCAATCCTACAGTTGTTAGCAATCCAAAAACTCCAGAAGCACCTTCTAGCTTCTTCTTTAATTTTTCCTCTCTCATTCTGTCACAAAACAAACTGAAAAAATGGAAAAAGGCACAATAATCTTTGATCAATGGTGATTAAAACAACAAAGATTAATAAAATAGTCAGATGAATATGAAGATTTGACCACAAATTGAGCTGGTTGACAAAGAATTCTTACTGTCAAATGAGCCAGCTTCCAAACATGGGGTTTGTAATGGGTTTGTTTGTTTCGTTTTTTTAGTGTGTGTTTTTAACTATTTTTTTGTATTGAGAATGTAAAAAAGTGTATTGGAAATGTAAAAGGATATGTTAGGATGAGACAGTTATTCATATATTAATATGAAAATACCATCAAGAAAAGGAAACAAACAAAAATTTTTCCCTGTGAGAACAAATCGATGGGCAACAAAGACAGTGAAAATCAATGGAGAAGGGACCGATGCAGATTTTAGCAACTACCCCCAAATTCCTTGTTGGATCTATATATGGGATTAAATCGAATGAAGAGAGAACTGTCAACAAGGGCAAAGAAGATGAACCGATAAGTGGACATAGAAGATTGTCATGGGCAGAAGCTACTGGCGAGTATGAAATAGGGGACGACAATGGATTGAAGAAGATTAGGTCGATGGGAAAAGAGGAAGGTAAGTTGGATTTGTTTTCTAAGAAACTGGGTAGGTGAAAAACAAGTTTTAGTTTGGCCATTTTGAGCTTGAAAGTTTCGACTAAAAAGCCCAATTTCCCCGCTCAAATGCCAAATGTTGTACAGTACTTATTACTATTTTTCTTTTTTTTTTAAATAAATTTAATTAAAGATAATGTATTAATATTAATTTAGAAATATTATAAGCACATATTTTTCTAATTAAGAATCAATCCCATAATATTTTCTTCTTTGTTTTTTCCCTTTCATGAGAGAGAAAAATGATAATTATTCATTTCCTATTTATTGGTTGATTCAATCTTTTGTATTAGCTCTGTCCCCAAAAAAACAATCCACTATAATTTTGATACAAATTATAAATTTCATTAAAGGAAATTTCACAAAAATATAATATCTACATATGCAAAAGATACTAACTAATTATATCACATGACGAGTTTGACCTTTCTTCCCTTGCCAACGTATACAAACTATAAAAATCTGATCTTAATAGCTAAATGTATTTGATAGCATGCTCTAGTTTAAGAATTAAGAGTATTTCGATGTGAAATTGTAAATGTACATTACAATATGTTGTAAGACTAGTTGTGTGTACGTTTGAACTACTAATTTATAACTTGTAAGTATATCTATGTATATGTGATAACTCTATGTGTAACAAGTTATAGTGTGGTACATACTATTCCTGTCTACTTGGTGCTTGCTTTCATTCAGAAATATTTGTTTATGGAAGCACGGGAGACATGTTAATTATCAATGGTACATCTAATTACTCCAAAAAAGTTAAGGTAAATCATTGGGGATTATGTTATGGGATGAAATTATAAATATTAGGGTGTCATACTACTATTATTATAAGTTTTTGAAGGACTAGTCTAAACATTAATTCATTTTATGTGGGCAACATTTCTAATTTTTAGGGTACTAGGATATAATTATAAAATTAGGAAACATCAAAGTAAAGGCATAAATAGTTCCCCAATTTTTGTGATGTATGACATTTTAGTCTCTAATTAGTGGTTTATGCATATTTTTGGAGAATTTTTTAAAAAAAAATGAAAAAAAAAAGAAATTGTGAGGTATCAATAGCGAAAGAGAAAATGTTACAAAAGATAATTATTTTTAAATAAATACCAATGTTATTTCTTTAAAAAATCATCATAATCCACCAAATCAAAACCGTTATTTCTTCATACGTTATCTTACTTTGTCGATTTGATCCGAAATTTTTGTTTGGATGAATCCACGGTTGCTTAAACACTATTCTTAATATTAAATACAGGCAGATTCACCATGATATTTTTTGTGGTCGAATCCATGTCTAAACTAAAGAATCAACCACAATCTTATTCATGGAAAAGTTAACCACGACGTGTAACGTTGTTGATTCGGGGTTAAAATTCATTTTAACCACAATATAACCACGGCGTATTAACCACGACCGAAAGTCATGTGTAATTCGTGATAAATGTAATGGGGGGGGGGAGAATTTAACCTCAGAATAGCCACATCTACATTTTGGCCGAGGTTAATCCATGGTAAATGTCATGGTTAATTCATGATATTGAGAAAAAGTAGTTTTGCTCAAATCCTTGTGGCTAATTTGAGGCAATTTCGCGGGTAAATAGCCCCCAATTAACCACAAACCTCAAATTTTCATGGTTAATGGCAAGTTTTCTTGTAATTGGGTCCATATGAGATGTCCATATGTGATGATATCCGTTTCAAATATTGAAGTTTAAGATGGAGTCAATGAGCATCAAAGAAGATAATATCCAAGGTGTGGTTCTGATCTTACAAGAGTGTTTTTGACTTTATTACTTTGATAGTTATATTTACAGTAGCTAGGAGTAAATTCTATTTATCTTGAATCAAATAAATTGATCTACTATGGGTAAAAATTAGCCATATTGCCCGAACTCTAGTAGTCATCAGTTTGGGTTGTTTTGTCATTATCTCTTCCTTAAAGAGATAAGTTTTCTTTTCTTCTAGATTCAGATAGGATTAAGAGTTTGAGTCAAAGTTCTTTTCATCTTTACTTCCTGCGCGCCGGATCGAGAAGAATTAGAAAAAAATATTCTCCATTCTTTCCTGAAAGTTAAAGTTAAGTCTTTCTTGAACAAGAAACATCTTCTAAAATAGAGAGGCCGAATTGTTCATCGACTTGTGTTAGATAAGTCAAATAATGGTCTTTATTAGTCAAATAGTTTGTATTCGTTCGAAATTTTGTTTACATTTTAAGATACTTTATTAGTTAATTGGTACTCGCTATGTGTGTGTCTTTTAATATTATATTCTAGAAAATTAAAAGAATGTAAATATCATTTAAAAGAAAAGAAATGGGGAATAAATTGATAAAGAAAATCTGTTTTAACACTTTTAGGTAATTTTTTTAACATATATATTAGGAATTGTGAAAAGGAAAAATATGTGTCTTAAACATGTTAATTTAATCACACTATATAATTTTCTATGTTAACAATAGTTTTAGAGTATTTTGAGTCCTATTAAAAAACATGAATGATATAAGCAAGAAAGAAATAATGTTCATCCTCTTCTATGAACGAAATTTAGTATATAAGCAATCATACTCACAAAAATAACAATTGCTTCGTTTATACAAACTGACATAGCCATTTAAAACATGTTGTAGGTACACGTTTGTACGACTATGTACCATAAAATTAACGGATTGTACCATGAATGGCCCAATTGAAGGAGCAATCAAATCTCGAGCAGCATCTATTTTCGCCTTGCCTTCATTGGCCAACATGAGCAAAAAGTCTAGAAAGCTTCACAGGACTAAAGGGAGAAATAACAATAGGCAATGCAGGAAACTGGGATTGGTGCCAAACTCCGGAATGGACATTGTTCCAAATGTTCAAAATCCTTGGTCAGTTGGAATGCTCGCAAAGCGTCTATGGCATCGTCGTCTACCATGGAACCGGAGGAGCAATGTTGGTATTGTTTATACCTCGTTTTGGACTGATGGAAGGAAACGACCCTTGGATCTTTTAGAAGTAGCTGGGACTTCAAAGAAACAAAGAATGATTATCAAGGGAAATAATCCAACAATAATTCCTCAGGTAATGGCTCTTGAGACTAACTTGAATGTGTCTAATACTGATAATGAAATAGAATCTGAAAAAGGTTTTGCGGTGGTTGAACCAAATCAACCGCCTTTGTTCATATGAATATTCTATCTTAGAATTGTATAGGTATGAATAATGCATCTTCTAAGCATGTAATAGGTAGATTAGTAAAGCATTATAAACCTAGTATTTTGTTCCTTATGGAAACTAAGGCTAGTAAGAAACATATAGATGTTTGGTAGCAAACTACTATTTTCAAAAATTCAGTTGTAATAGATCCGGTAGGGCTCAATGGAGGTTTAGGCCTATTTTGGTTAGATGGTGTGCAAATTAATGTGCTACTGCATAATTCAAATGTGATAGCAGTCAATGTATGTGAAACTACTGACTTAGAGTGGCTTGCTATTTTTCTGTATGGTCTTCCTTCTCATCAAGGTAGGACTGAATTTTGGACTCAGTTGCATGACACTATCAGCAGCTACAACTATCCCAGTGTTATTTTAGGAGATTTCAATTAAGTAATTAATCAAGAAGACAAGTTTGGAGGTTCACAAGTCAGGGATCAAGACACAAGGAGGATCCAACAATTCCTATCCAACAATGATTTGGAAGAACTGAAGCATCTCGGATGTTGGTACACATGGACAAATAAAAGACAAGGTCAGAATGTAATTTTTGAAAGATTGGACAGAGCTTTTATTAATCATCAGTGGTTGAGTCACTTCAACAAGGCGATTATTAGAAATCTTCCAATTATGAGCTCAGATCACGGCCCTATTCTGATTGAACTTATGGAAAAGAGGCCTCAAAAACGAAAGCACATGTTTGAGCAATTTTGGTCTAACTGTCCAACATCAAAATATTGGTGAGCCAAGTCTGGAATCAATCTTCCCTTCATATTGATAACCAACATGAAAGCTTGTTCTTTAAACCTATATTTTGAAAACCGGACCGGCCCGGGCGGTCTAACCGGTTAGCTCAGGAACCGAAAGCCTCATCGGTCCGATTTCCATAAAAAACTGGATTCTGTATAACACGGTCAAACTCGGTCAAACCCGGGCAAAACCGCGGTTTGACCGGAAAGCGGTACCGGTTAAACTGGTTTTTTCCATATATTTCTTAAAAAATTAATTTTTAAATATTCTTTTAATATTATTTTAACTTGGTTTCACTGGTTTTAAGGAACGAACTAACCCGTTAACCCGATAAACCCACCAACCAGGTCCCGCTAACGGTTCACCTTCCGCTCCGGTTTTGAAAACATAGCTTTAAACTACACATGACCATCTCAAAACTTCATAGTTGGAATAAATCCCAGTTTGGCAATTTGGACAAGCTAGTAACTAAATTATCAGATCAATTGGCAACCATCCAACAACAATGTGAATTGAATAAGTCGGATGTTCAATTAAGTAGTCAACTGAAAAGACAGCGACTGGAACTGGAAGAAGCATTGCAACATCAATAGGACTATTGACATCAAAGGGCAAAACTCAGATGGCCAATTCAATGTGATCGTAACTCAAAATTCTTTCATAAATGGGCTACCAGAAAAAAGGGTAACAAGTGAACAACGGAGCTTCAAAATGCAAATGGCGAGGGATTCAAGATCATGGTCAATTCAGCACAGTGCCACAAAACCACTTCTCTCAAATTTACATGTCCGTGGAGTCAAGCACCCATAATGCTCAGACATCTTCTCTTCTGCCTGATCTTCTAGGTAATGTAGAAGAGTGTTTATCATCTACACAAACTGACTTCCTGGATAGTCCATTCACAGAGGGAGAAGTTTGGAAAGCTATCAAGCAGATGTTTCCATGGAAGTCACCAGGACTAGATGGGATGCCTGATGGATTCTATCAGCATTATAAAGGGGTTATAGGTGCAGAACTGCAATCAACAATCTTGGATGCAATTAATAGCCAATACTTCCCTCTGGAAAGGAATCAAACCCATTTAGTTCTCCTACCCAAGACGTCTAACCCAACAACTCCCAATGACTTCCGGCCTATCACTCTTTGTAATGTCAAATACAAGATCATTACCAAGATGATTACCAACCGGTTGAAATAGGTCATGAATGATCTAATCGATGACCATCGAAATGGCTTTGTTCCAGGCAGGAATATCGGTGAAAATATTCTGAGAGCTCACGAGATCATTGAGTTCATCTTGAGAAGAGAGGGTGATACATGGCTAGCTTCAATCAAATTGGACATGAGTAAAGAGTATGATAGAATTTCATGGCCTTTCCTACAGGCAGTCTTAGATAAAGCTAATTTTACTCCTTGTTTAATTTCTTTAATCATGCATTGTGTGTCCTCTGTATCTTATTCAATCCAATTCAATGGCGACACCCTTCCTCCCTTCTCTCCAACAAGGGGACTTATAGGCCTACCCATTATACCCGTATCTCTTTATATTGTGCCAACAGGTTCTATCCTCAGCCATAAGGCCTGAAATTCAGACTTTCCTAGGATTGGGTGTGAACATAAGCAAACATGCTCCAAGAATCAGCCATCTTATGCATGCCGATGATAGCCTCTTCTTCATAGAATGTAAGGAAACTTCTGTCCTAGCACTTGCTGGTTTATAGGAGAATTATACCTCCTTCTCAGGACAACGCATCAATCTGAACAAGTCTTCTATACTTCTAAGTGCTAATACCAACCTGGAAATGAAAAATTTTGTGCACTCTACACTTAACATTCCTCCAGGGCCCTTTCAGAGTAAATACTTGGGCATGAGTTTAGACTTTAAGCAAAAAGAAGAAGGTTACTTTTCGGGAGTTCATCACAAAGATCAGTAACAAATTTGCTATTTGGAAAACCAAGCTGCTATCTTTAGCGGGAAGAGTCACCTTGCCAAATTGACTCTGTCCTCGATGATGGTGTATCCAATGAGTCTTCAAACTTCCAGCCTCTACTTTGCACAAGGCTAACAAAATTATTGGTAATTTTATCTATAAAGGCGATAACCAAGATAAGAAAATTCATTAGAGGTCTTGGAAAAAAATCACCAAATCTCAATATCATGGAGGTCTTGGATTCAAAGCTATGAAGGAATTTAATCAAACTTTATTGGGAAAACATGCATGAAAAATTATGTCAGTTCCAAATTCCTTTTATTATCCAGACTTTTTCGGGCCAAATACTGCTCTAATGGCTCGTTTCCTCCCCTGCAAGTTACCAACAACCAATCTTGGGGTTTCAAGAGTAACATGTGGGGTGCAGCTCTTTTACAACACAATACAAAATGGAAGGTCATCTCAGGAAAGGACATTCCTCTCTCAACAGACTGGATTGCAAATCATGTCAACCCCATAAATGGTGACTGAGTGACTCCATCTTGGCTACGCACTCTAATATCAGAGTTTGTAATTTTATCAATTCAGCCGGACAATGGAAACTTCATTCTCTTAGAACTTTTTTTTTTCCGGATCACATTATTCCTTATATTATTGGAATATTCATTAATCAGGCTCGAAAGACTCACAGAGACAAGCTCCAGTGGTTACACACAGAACATGGAAATTACACAGTCAAGTCTAGTTATGGTTTGGCGTTCAACGCACAAATTTAGCAGTCTGCAGTTGGTCAAGCAATTCTGCATATGGAGAAATTGGCTTGGAAAAAGGCTATGGAACTCAACAGTGCAGCCAAAACAAAAACTCCTCCTTTGGAGAGCTCTTCTCAATGCTCTCTCTACTAGAAAGGAGCTGAGCAAAGGAGGGGTACGGGTGGACACAACATTCCCTAGATGTTTTTGATATGAAGAAGACAATCTACATCTCTTCTTCAAATGTGAGATATCCCAGGCAATATGGGGCTTGGTTTTTCCCACATTTGCTTCCATTTTTAATTCCACATATGAAACAACGTTTCAGTGGTTTACTCAATGGATACAGACACATCCTACAAAGAGGACGTTGATCTATTCCTCCTAATCATTTGAAGAATTTGATCAGATCAAAATGACAAAATTTAGAGGAATCAAAGTAATGATCCTGCTGTCTCTTGGCGATTGATCCAAAGTGATGTAGCTTCACAAACAAAACCAACTCAGATAATAATCTCGCAGAATCTTGCCACCAGCTAGCCAACCAAGGAATCCTTTGGACTCGATACTAGTTTTTGATGATTCCTTCAATCCACATACAAGGAAAGCATCATGAGCCTGGAAGCTCATTTCATAGCTTGACATGATTATGCAAATTAAGTGTGTTGATATCAATCCTATGTCGCCGTTCCAGACACAAGCAATGACGTGCCTACTGGCACTCCAAGAAGCAGCAACCTTGGGTTTACCAGGATACATGTTCACACAGATTGTGAAACTTTAATAGGAGATCTAAGGATCGATGCAATCCCGATTGAAGCTAAGGAAGTTATTTCTCTTCTAATTCCGCTTATTGCTTCTTTTCAGCCTTGTCGACTGATTAAAGTTACTAGACAGGATGTTTTGGAATTACATAATTTAGTTTATAGTAGAATGTGTTGGAGTTAATTTCAATATATTGTAGAGACACAATTAATATGTTGTACCTATTGGGTGTTTCAATATATTGTAGAGAAATAACTAATAAGTTGTGTCTATTGACTCCATATAAAAAGATATTAACGAAAAGTTATGTCTATGACCATAACCAAAAGTTATGTCTAATCCTCAAGAGTTACCTAAACTTTATAAATATGGATCATTTGGATGTTTTTAGTGTACAATGAAATCACCAAATACTTGGAATATTTCCAATGACATTTCTTAGGTTGTTGGTTTACTAAAGTGCATAGTGAAATAACATGATCTCCATTTTATCTCATAGGGAATTCGTCTAAACAATTACACTGTATAGTGGGTGAATTTAGCCTAAAGGAAAGTAAGTTTACTTGTGACTTGGAGACAAAACTTTCTTTTATCCTAACCATAAATTCTTCGTCTTGTTCTTTGATTTAGTGCACCCATTGTTGTCCACTATTCTTGAAGCAGAATTCCATCAATCTTTAGGCTAACTTTTTGGTTGAACAATGGCTACAATGTAGTACTTGAAGAATTAAGCGAGGATATTTTTCGTTGCACATGAAAATGGTGAAAATGTTGTAGATCATTGGATTCAAATGGAAAAGGGCAATGATAAAATACAATGGACCTCGTCATTAAAGTAAGAATTGTATTTTACTTGTGACTTGTGACATTCCAAGTCCAAGGTATGCATTTTCTTGATAAATACATGAATCTAGTGATGAGATCTATGCTTGAGTGAAATATGGTCACAAAATTTATGAAGTTTTGCATGTAAAGAAATTTACTATTCATTATTTGTTGATTGCCCGCATGAGTGGTTTCTATCAAAATAAAATAATTAATTAATGTGATGATTAATTAAGAAAATGTATGTCATAAAAGTTTTGATAGAGAATTTGGCCATATTTTATCATGACTTGAAATAGAAATGCAAAAATTGGCCTTTATGTGATGTAGCAATAGAGTGCTTTGATTGCATGTTATAAATTTTCTGTTAAGTGGTGTAGACCTTGTTATCGAAAAAAGAGTGTTGACAGAAAAATCCACGTGTTGGAATTTATTATGTGTTTTGTTTGGTATTGTCAACTTGTTCGTCGACTAGAGTAAAGTTGACATAAAAGTTGACGTTCGTTGATATGTCTAATTATTTGACTTTGTCGACTTGTTCGTTCATAGAATTAAAGATGACAGAAAAGTCGACATCCATCGAAGTGTCTGGCTGTTTGGCCTTGTTGACAGAAACTTAGGTAAAACAAAACAATTTATAAAATAATAAATTTTTGTGCGCAGAATTTTTGTGAGTGCATCACATATTATCATTTGATTTTGGGTCAATCAAACAAAGAAATTTGATCCCAATAAAGTGCTAGTTTTGTATATTTGTGTTTGTTACATGATCAACATTTAATTGCTTAAATGAATTTGCAATTTATATGATAATTTCATGTGATACATCGTATGATTCATACAAAATGCGATCTTTGCATTTTGGAAATGATAAAAGAATTTAAGAGTTAAATTATTTTTTACACATAATGCATTATTCATTATTAAATTGAATATGTTGCATGAATGAATAATTTTCATGAAGTGACATAAACTGTTACTAATCATTAACCCGAAAAGGTATCGTTCATGAATTATTGTGACTTTTTAAATTTATTTGGATGGAGGGATACACTAAAGGGTGTGTCTAGTGAGTCTAAATAAAAAAGACAACAATGAACAATTATGTCTAGAGACTCATGGCAAAATGACACAAACTAAACAATTTTGTGTCTAATCGTGACAAGTATAGAGGCATCAACATAATGCAATGTCTGGTATTTTTACTTGAAAAGACACGAGTCAAAATTGTGTCAAGTCATCCAAAAGCTAAAGTGAAACCAAATGGTGTGAATGGACAAGATATAAATAAAAGGTTATGTCTAGTCATTTAAGAGACACAAACCCAAAGGTTGTTAATGAAAAGATAGTAGTTAAATTTGTATCTTATTATTGAAAGGTTACATGATATGTGGTCTATATGATACATTACGATATCAACATACATCATGAATATGTCAAGTTATAATTATTATATAAGGATGATAATATTTTATGTGTTGCATATGACAACTCTAATTTGTGAAATTATCTTTTGACATAAAACAAGTAGTGTTGATTCAATATAGATGAATCAAACAAGTGCATATTGAAGAAACATTTAATTGACAAATGAGTCCGTTTGGATGTAGATGACAAGTAAATTTTTGGTGAAGATGGACTTGGAACAAGTCTTACAAAACAAAATTTGTTGTCTATGAAGTTTGAGATTGAAGACATGGTCAAAATTAATGTCTTGTTTGAAAAGGAATTGAGAGAAAGTGTGATATAATCACGCATACTCTACCTCGGCATGTGGCGAAAATTCCTAAAAGGTTCAATCATTGAATTGAAACCTGAGTGATTTCCATAGAACTCATAATGTTAAGAGTTAAAGGGAACTTTTATCTTAAATTACTATTTACATATAGTTAAAAGTTGAATATGATGTATTCGACTAGCATAATTATATGATTTTAATTGAATATACTGAATTTAGTGTGACGTATGAAAATTGAAATCAAAAGATCAATTAATGCATATGTTTATAGTTTATATACATGTATTCCAGCATATATGAACTTATGTCAAATGTGGTCAAAAGTTTGAGCTTGTATAAAATAAAGTATTGCTTCTCATACATCACTAGAAAGGTGTGTTAATGTTTAAGACATTAAGCAAAATTGTATGTTGTCTAAGCGTGGCATTTATCTACTATGTTAGGGAAAAGCTATTCAATAGCTTGTGATATATTGATAGAACTCTAAATGCAAGAGATTCTATAATATATTTTCTTTGGACTAAAACTGAACCTTAATCACTAAAAATTAGAGGTTGCCAGTCAATTGTCTAGTTCCCATAACCTAATATAAGGAAGTTGGGAGAAAGAGGTATTTCGTGCATTTTCACTGGATATGCACATAATAATTTGGTCTATTGGTTTCAATAGATGCTATCTTCAATGAAGATAGATACACCTGGTAAAAAAAATTTAGAATGTTTAGTTTAATCATCTAATTTTTTAAATTTTAAATTAATGAATTCAAAGTCTTAAATTATTTATTTTAGTTTTCTCATATTCAAAAAATAATTAGCTTAGAGTACTATACTTGTTTATTTCATTTTTTCTAAAGTTTCTGAATTACTATTAATTTGTCCTTTTTTTTTGGTTCTCCTTATTATTTTATGGTACTATCTCCGTCTTAAAAAAATAATTCATATTGAGTTTTAAGTTTTGTATTTTTTTAGTACAAATTTGAAAAGTGTGAATTATTTTTCTGGGACGGAGATAGTAATAAATAAATTTATCCACTGAGCTTATCCTTTCACATAACGGACTCCCTCCAGTGCAGCTCTTCAATGGCTTGAAATTCCCTTCATTTTCTTCTCAAATCGTCTTCTTCTTTCCAACACTTTTAGCATCCAAAATCCGCCATCAATTACAGTATAAGTAAGCCTCGAAAATGGCGGCACCGGCGGCGGCGACGGCGACTGGAGCAGCTGCTTCCGCTTTGTGTCCTCCCTACTACACTACCTCATCCTCTTCAAAATCTTTCCAAAGCCATTTTTCCCTCAAATCCGTCCCGTGTCGGTGCATTTCATTTTCTCCGATAAAATTTAATAGCTCTGTCATCAATACATGTAGCAGGAGACGCCCTTTTGCTCTGGAGACTTCTCATTCATTCCAGGTCTCTGCTTCCCAAGTACTGTAATTTTCCTGTAGAATTCCTTTTTTGAAATCTTATTTCTATCATATTCATGGTGTCTTCAATTCTTGTGCTTACCGTAACTGTAATTAGTTTGCATGTCAGAATTTGATATTTCATTTTTTTCGGCCAATTTTTAAATTCTCGTGGGTCTTCATTTAATTTTTGATTTTAGCATTAGCTGGGACAAAGTTGTTACCTGTTACTTCAGAGGTGATGTTTCGTTACAGGTTCAGTTGGACTTATGTTGCTTTTAGTTGTAGAAAATGGAAATAGATTTGAAAAAGAGTTTATAGGGTGGCCATCGATGAACTTTGAGGTGGGAAGATTTCAACGAATTCCAATCTGAAAACCATATTTTTATTACTGTTTTGAAGTTGGTGTAGGGTATTTTAGTGATTCTGAGTTGGTGTTGGTATTTAGATTTGGAAATTGGTCCAGAAGTTTTAACAGAATGGCGAGTGCAGGTTCCGTTCATGAACCCTCTTTTGTAATATAATAAAGTCATCTATCTGTCAAAAATTGTCACTCTGCTGACAGACCTCCCTGAATGAGGGTATCAATTAGCAATGGTGATTAAGATTATATTAGACAGACTTTTGTTTTCTCTTTCCCAAAATGTGAAATGCGTAAAGTGCATGGTTCTCAAACGGTTTAAAGAACTTATATATTTTGAACGAGTGAAGAGTAAAGCATTATGGGGCTTCAGAAGAGGAAATTACCCCATTGCATGCATTTTGGAACGGAGGAATTACCTGCGATGATCTTTGTGTGGAAACAAATTTTTAGTTGATGGATTGTAGTTTTTCCAGCAGGCATATCAATAGTTGGTGAGCTTTTAAGCAAGCATGACGAGTTTGTGGAAAATACAAATAGAGTATAGAATGTGTATGATCAGCTGAGATTCTCCAATAGTGTGCCAGGTTGATGAGATCTTAAAAGGCAGAAACATAATGGTTGTTTGAGAAAATGATAGATGATCAAATGAATGTGTTCTTATGTTAGGATTATCAACTAGATCGTTGAAACAGTGTTCAGAAATAGATTTGTTTCTAGGTAACAGTTGTTTTAGTATTCCTCCGAAAGGACCTGGTAAATTTGGTAATAAGACCTTGTTTTTAAATAGTGCAGTAAACTTATTGGAGAAAAACAAAATAGTACCGTAATAGTTTGCAGTTCCAAATCTTTTGAGCAATCTTTTTACTGTAATTTGTACCAGTATGTTGTTTCTTTTCTTGTTGTTTTAATCTTCTGTAGTGCTTGGTTGGAACCTATATAAGGGGTAATACTTTCTGTTTGCTTGATAAAAGCTCATTGTAAGACCTCTCCACTGCCTTACATTTTTAATACACCTTGTTCAGTAACTAAAGCCATTTGCTGCTCTGAACTTATTGTTCTTTATACAAAGCAGCAAGCATTTGATGATTTGAAACCCATTCTCCAGAGACTTTATGCATTTTAGCTGCTCTGGGTTTCCAAGTATTCTGCAGAAAGAACAACTGTTCTTAGCTAATCAGCCAAATAGCTAAACTTCCGCGTTCAGCCTGTAAATGGTGATATTACTAATACAACCTGGAGTTATTGCGTTGTTAATGAAAAATTCATGTATAACCAATTCTCAACTGACTTTTGCATGCCATGCAGTTTGAGGTGGTACTTTATGGAATTTGCTTCTTGTTTATATAGCTCAGATTGGCTAGAATTTTATGGAAAATCCTTCACCTTCATTGAACGGGCCATTTAACAAGGAAAAATCTTTGCGTAAAACTTATGTCCTTCGGTCTTCACTGATTGACCTCATTCCCTGATGTTTTTATTTTTATGTATATGTGTTGATCTAGCTGTCCAGATCTTTTTGACCGAATAAATTGGGCTAGAAGTTAGGGACACTTTTTGGAGTATCACCTATCCAATGCCAATCTCTTTTACTGAGTCCCTGTATCTTGAAACAGAAAATAAAAGAGCCTAATACCTAGAGACACACCGATGCATCTGGCACCCATATTGAAGTCCATGTAACATAGTATTTGGATCGTAATTTGGATACTCCAATTGGTTTCTTGAGTTCCTTGTTTTTCAGTCTTCTATTTGTCTGTACAATTTAGGGGGGTTTCTGAGTTTTCTTAATGTATCTGTTGAAGATTGTAATTCAGCTGATAATCCTCCCTCTAAGTAGGGCATCAAGGAAACAATGGGGATTAAGCTTATTGTTAAGAGCTTCGAATGACTTTTGTTTTTTTCTCTTGCTCAGTGAAAGAGTGATGAGAGGAAAATGCACAGTTTCCAAATGTTTTAAAGAACCTGATGTGTGTGCAATTGATTGTTCAACTACTTGGAGCCTTCTTCACATCAACGAAATCTTTAAATTGAAATCACTTGATTAACTTTATTCATGAGGCTAGTTGCCAAGAACCACAGGGAGGTTAAGTAGTGAGTAGCCCCATGCATTAAAGCTCTACTGTATGCTTGGAAGTGGGAAGCATCAGGCGCAGCAGGATCAAAATGCTTAGCCAATTAGCCTCACCTTATATTCCTCCTCTAACAATATAAAACCCAAGGTTTCTCTTCATCATTATCATTTGTACAAGTTTTAGTGTTGTTCCAATACGCAAGGCATTGGTTACTGATCAAGTTCTTTGTTTTGGAGTTTATGGTTATGACTTCTATATTATTATTATCATTTTTAAAATTCCAATTTGGTTTTGCCATGTTTATGACATTTCCCTAGTAATTTTCGTATAACTTTATTTCCCATGTAATGAGATTTTAGAAATATCTTACTGTCTAGCAACGGCTAAAGATAAAAAGTTCACTCTATCAAGTTTTGTTAAGGAATTTGCTGAGAAACCCAAGCCTTAAGAAGGTCATGAAGGGTTCTCTTCATTATTAGGATTTGTGTAAGTTTTACTTTTGTACAATATACAAGGTATTGATTACTAATTAATAGTTATGGAGTTTATAGTTTTGACTTCTTTTTTCTTTAAGAGAAATTAGTTTGGTTTTGCCTTAATTTTGACCTTTCCCTAGTAATCTTTCTATAACATTTTGTCCTACTAAATGAGATTTTGAAAGATAAAAGATCATTGTTTTCAACTGCTACTTATGCTGCTGTTCATGTATAAATTTGCTGAGAAACTCTTCTATAGGTTTATTTTTGAAACTACTTGGTGAAACATTGAAATGAAAAATACTGGTTTTGAAGGGTTATATAAGTTTGCTGTATCTGGTTATCGCCATAGTCATAGTTATAATGTAACTCCAGGGAAACCCTCCCACTACATGCAAGTTGGTGTTATTACTAAATGATCACAAATGGTTAGAACAAGTTGCATCCCCTACTTTTGAGATTAATTGATGAATGGAATTGAAACTCTAGAAGATCGCTATTAGTTAATCAGTTGTTAGTTGAGTGTCACATCGCTGGAAACGGCAAGGACCCCTAATTTACAGGATAAGGAGGAGAAACTATGCGCATAATAAAGGGATCGATTGTCCATTACTGTTTAATCCAAAATAGTGTAGTAAACTTCTTTTGCTTAAAGAAGTTATCCTTTTGCCAAGCTAATGTCTTTATAAAATGATGTAATCATGCGTGCTGAATTGTTCAGTAATTCAAATTATTTTAACTCCTAAATTAGAAAAGATTTCGTATTAGAATTTTCAATTGTGCATTTCCTTCTCATCTTTTACTCTGAGGAACTTAATGCACCACAAGACACAGTGATCCTTTATTTGGTGATGAATTGTAGCTTCTGAATAGACATTTTCAAAGTACAATGTTGTTCGAGTTATGTAAAAAATTGTCTCTTTTTTCATAAGTAAGAAATTTTGAATCTTTTGGAAAAAAAATTGAGCTGTGTTGCTCACTTAAATGCTATCAACTTGAGAACTCCTGTAAAGGTGACATGCTGCTGCAGTAGGCAAATAGAATAAACTTAGGCTTGAGAGCTTTAGGCTTTTTATTTATCCACCGCCACGGGCTCTGAATGACCTATGCGTTGTACAGAATCTCTGACCATAATTGAGTTGTCATTTGGGCCATATTTATCACCCGAGCTGGAGCCTGTATAACATGGCATTTTAGATGTAATTTGGATACTCGAATTGGTTCTATAAGTGTTGCGTTTTTCCGTCTTCAGATTTTCTGTGTATTTTAGGAGAGTTTCTCATGATTCTTAAGGTGTCCCACAATTTTTTCTGTGATGTTTTACACTTTGTTGTGCAAAATGATGAAACACATCCAAATCAAACTTGATGCTGGAGGAATCTATTGTGTTTCTTTCAGTAGTTTCTAATTTTAAACTGTGCAGGGTATGTCAATGAAATTGTTGCTTATAGCAAATTCCCCAAATCCAAATTTTCTATTTTGGGTCTTTGTTTCTAAAGTTAGTTTCATTGTTAATCCAATGCCTATTTGATTCTTAGCTTAAACTGATTAATCTGCTTGCAGATCATGGAGATATCTGAATTTGATTTCAATATAACGAGCTTCCCATTTCCATGTGTAGGCAGGCATGAAATCTATTACCAGAAGAAATGGAACTCACAACCCGGGATGTTCAGTGTACCGGGCATGCTGTTCTCTAGCAGTTCCTCACTGTACGAGTCTGTCTCCATTAAGTGCCCCTGAATCAGGTACTCTTTCATGTCAAAAAGAAACAATTACCGATTTGTTGGGCAGCAACATTGAAAAGATGGAACATATCAATGAAACTTTTAAGCAATGTTTAGTGGTACTAGATCTGGATCCAGCCACAGCAAAGGTGGCAATAAGCATTCTAGGACCTTCACTTTCAGCATTTGGTTTCCTGTTCATTCTAAGAATAGTAATGTCCTGGTACCCAAAGCTTCCAGTAAAATCGTTCCCTTATGTCATAGCCTATGCTCCAACGGAGCCCATTCTTATCGCAACCCGGAAGTTGATTCCTCCGCTTGGAGGAGTCGATGTAACACCTGTAGTCTGGTTTGGATTGCTCAGCTTTCTTAATGAAATACTTGTCGGTCCGCAAGGGCTTCTTGTACTCTTATCCCAACAGATTGGGTAGATGAACTTATTCAGCATCCAATTTTTCAGTGTATAAAATATCTGTTTGGTTGCCTAGTTCTGCCATTTGTACTGGTTTTAGTTTTGATTCCCACCCTCCATAAAAGAGAAATTTTGCTTCATATCTTTTGAGTTCTATCTTACTGTATTTTTAGCCAGTATTAGCAAGTGAGTTTACTTTGTAATTTGTAATAAAAAACACAACATCTCGAGATTCAGTCATAATATGAAAGTAACCTTGGGTTTCGTTAAAATTAATTTTTAATCCTTGACAAATAAAATATAAGTGTATTATTATTTTTTTTTTATTTTTTTCCCTTCTTGTTAATAATGCCATTGCGTAATTCCAGATTATACATGATCATCATATTAATAAAGTAAAAAATGGAATATATGAAAATGATAATCATTTCAGGAGTAATATTTGGACAGTAATTTCCAGGTTGAGCACATGCATTTGTTAAGCAATTATTTATTTATTTATTTTTATATTACGCATCCGGTATCCGAAGTCATTACTCTGACTAACCTGAATTTGAATTAGGTTATAATTAAACTGGCCCAATATTTATACCACTTAGACCAAGTGGTTGTTGGTTAAGCAATTGGTATGTTAGTAGTACCCTTTTATGATAATCAACTCTCAAACAATCACCACCAAATTAAGATGATGCGTGTGTAGAGAAATGTCAACATAAGAGAAATCTTAGTTACATTTAAACAGACAAACAATAAAGAAGGCAATGAACTGATTTCGACCAATGTATCATTATTTCCCTCATTCCTTGATACACCAATCAGCTATAACTAATTCGTGATGTGGAAATGTAAATTACGAAATTGAATCTCTTCTGGAGGTGGGTGCAAGCAAGCACATCAATGACAGATATACTTGCCTTATTGTAATAATTACCTTTGAGAAATTAATAAAATCAATCACACTTTTCCCATCTCTATGTCTTCTTGATGTTTAGCGGCACCAGATGTGCGATTTTTAGTTGAGCTGAGTTTCATGTCCTTTTCTTCAAACTCTTCCATCTTCATTTCACTACCACCTTTCATATTCTTGATATCATTATCCTCCATTTCACTACCACTTTTGTTGCTGGCGTTCTTGTAAACGAAGTAGAGAATCATTTGAACAATCCCGAATAAGAAGCCCAATACATTTGGCAACTGCAAATATCAACCACAGGATTTGAAGATCAATTGAAATAAAGAACGAATAATTTATAGCTTATTATAGTGACTATTTAGGATATTGTTACAATAGTTTTTTCGTGTCATACTTACAGCGATATAGTAATCTTTGATGAAAAAACCATAGAAGAACCACATTGTGGCACAAAGTGTGAGGAAAAATGATAGATTGAACGGCATGTATTCGACGCTCTTAGTTCTAATGACTTGTCTCTGCAAAAAAAAAAAAAAAAAGGAAAAAGAAAACAAAATAACGATGGGTAATATTTAATGTCACGACTTAAGTTGGGATGTTTTATTTGATTATACATTAATTAAAACAATATTGGTCACTTTAAAATCTTCTTGAATTTTGCTCAAAATGCGAATTCAAGCACCAAACTAGAACATGAAATACCATAATGCTCAATGGAGCAGCAAACACAGCAAGGTTGATCACTGCACAAGTCCATCCTACTAGGGTTACTCGATGGGGACCTTTTGTGAATACAATGGAAACAACCATTATAAGACCCAGAACTCCTACGTTGAAGAGAAGTATTAACTTCACTGTGAACATCTGCAAAAAAAAAAAAAAAAAGTTTAAAAACAATTATTTTTTACATCTAAAATAACCATATTGTTACTAGGAAAATAATAACACCATTTTCTTCTGAATTAAAGGATAATTAGATAATGACCTTGGTCTTCTTTGAAGCAAATGTAATGAAGAAAATGAGGTAAATTGTTTCAATGAAACATCCAAAGGCATTAATGCTGACGATCAAATAGGCATTAGTCTTGAGAAATGCATAATATAGCAATAGTGACGCACTGAAGAGTGCCACCACGTAAGGTATGGATTGAAACCCTTCTGATGTTTTCTTCTTGTAAATTGTATAAAATGTTGGCCTGCAACAAAAAAAATTAAAAAAAATATTTAAAATTGGGTACTTTTCTTTCTGTGTTTGTGGTAATTAATCAATTGTTTAAATGTCATGAAAGTTATTAATTAATTAAATGAAGGCATTAATTAATTAATTCCAAAGTTGCTAGCTAGAGAGCTTGCTTACACTGGAGCTAGGAACACCATGAATGATACAATATTACCTGCAGTTATAAAAAAAAATTAGTAAAAAATGAAAGGATTGATCATCAAATTTCATACAGCTGATAAAACTGAGTACTTATAACCAAATGTTCAATGCAATCCAACTTTAAAACTTTATTCAGCATTTCCCCGGGGGTTTGGGGTTTACAAGTTAATCAAGATTGTTATTAGCAAATTTAGTACGTCTCAAAGGCAAAATAAAATAAACTAAACTAGAAGTGACTACTTTGATAACATCCACCAGTAATTTAGCTAGCTAGTGTGCATAAATGATAACTTCATAAATTCATCGCTGAATATTTGGTTATGCTAGTCATGATTTTTTACATTGATATACAGCGAGAAAAACTGAAATTCAATATTATTAGAACTAGAGTTAAATGAACAATTGTTAATCTTGAAATCATTAGCAAACGAAAATTAAAAGAAACACATATTATTGAGTGCTTTTGAGGAATATTATTGAGTGATTTTGAGGAATATTCTTATCCATTGCTTATAGTCAAATCGAGATTGAAATATGATGTAACTAGCATTATAACTCACAGAATATGTTAGTTGAAAGGGTATGTCTCTTTCGTTACCAAAAAATAAAAATAAAAATCAACTGAATAAATTACTAATATGACAAAAGTAAGGACTTTCGTTAGTAGTTAAGAAAAGGAAGAAGAGAATGATTCATAAAAAAAAAAATCATAAAGGGCCATGGCGGTATATAAATTTTTCAGGACATGTTCAATACGCGTAATTGTGCTTACCCAACAAGCCAAAAATGAAAGCCAAGTCTTGAACGCTTAATAAAATTGCCATTTCTATTAAGTGAAGCTCTCTTTGCACCCGATATGCTGTATTTCTTGTATGATGAAATCCACAAAGAGACTTAATTAACCAGCAGAGACTGCAATCCTATTTATATTAGTTGGCGCGACGTAGAGAAAAATTGGGTGGAGCGAAATCAACTACACTCGTTTCACTTTAAATCTTTAATAATTCATTTTGTTGTATTATTTTAATTTAATAAATTATACTCCCTCCGTCCCATAATTATTGTCCATTTTGCCCAAAAAATTTTGTCCCAAAATTATTGTCCAATTTGACTTTTTATAGATCAAGTTACACATTTGTCCTTAGTTAAAAAAACATTATCTATAAAATCTCAGTGGTTAAACAATTACTTATGTAGGGATATATCCGGTTGTTTAAGGTAAAATATAGTTAAGTTTGACCAAAAATAAAATCTTTCATTTTAGTAAAACTGGACAATAATTATGGGACGGAGGGAGTATATATATATATATATATATATATATATATATATATATATATATACTCCCTCCGGTCCTTAATATAATGCATTTTGATTTGTCCTAAGTTTAATTTAGTACTTATTTTTAATTAATAAAAAAATCTTAAAAATATTTCATAAAAATCAAGAGAATACAACGAATGCGAAAAAATATTTTTAAAGTTTTTCGTTAATTAAAAATGTGTACTAGGTTAAACCTAGGACAAAATCGAAATACCTTATATTAAGGACCAGAGGGAGTATATTGTTTGGACGGAATCAATAGAGATATAGGTAGATGGTTTGGCCTTAACACACCGTTAAATAATTAAGCAATTAAAAGCACTATTGCATTTCTGATTTGGCGTAAGACCTCCACTTCTAGCACAAAAACTGCTATCTCTAGTTGTAGAAATTGTTTTAGTTTTTGGTTCGTCTCAATCGTTTAGTTCATTTGATCCAGTTGCTCGTAATTAAGTTTGAAGATGTATTATTTCTATTGATGCGTGTAAACGAGGAAACCAAACGCGTTCCATACATAGGGAGGATGACTTCAATACAACTTTCAAAAATGATAAATAATTGTTTGCATATTTTACCCTTTTATGGATATCCACACAAGGTTAAAGATTCGATTCTTAATTGAATCCATTGATTTAGTAGTTTAGAAAGCGTTTGAAGCACCGGTAGTTAGCCAGTTAAAGCATGTGCGAAATCTCCTAATTAGTCGTTAGGATACTAATTATTATCTCCGTCCCAAAAAAATGGTATTGAGTTTTCAAATTTGTAGTAAAAATAATACAGTACAAAACTCAAAACTTGATTTAAATTATTTTTATGGGACGGAAAGAGAAATTAATAACATTTTTCTGTTCTTTTTTCTTCCAAGGGCCTTCAGGAATATTGTAACAGTGAAAGATTGATTCATTTGCTCCCGAGCTTTAAGTTCAAGGAGGAAAATATATGATTTGTGTTTTTGCGAGCATAATTCCAAAGTATGGGACACCGAAAAATTTCAGATGCTTCTTTCGTTCCAGGAAAAAAAACAAATTATTTATATGAAATCATTAACATAACCCTTTTGAGAAAAGGGGACGTAGCAAACATCGCCACACTAATGATCATTTTTTTTTTTTTGGGTTATATGGTAGGTAATCTTATTAATTTTGGCAGTGAAAAGTCGTTATAGTACTACGCAGGTGAATATATATCATCTGAGAAAATGACAAAAGCAGATGGCATTCAAATGTTCTTAACTAGTAACTACTATCAAATGATCAAATGAACAACAAAAGGACAATCAGATAAATTGTTTTGTTGCCTAACTAAAATAGTTACATTTTGTTTCGAGGATAACTAAAATAATCACAATAAAATCTTAGAACCTTCCTTCACATAACTACCATTAATCATGACTTTTAATTCGTCACATAGAAGGTATGACGGAAGTAAACTACTCCCTCCCAATGGCTAATATGATAGTTCTTGAAAACTACTACCTCAATCCTAAAAAATTAGTACACATTAAGTTTTGAAATTTGTATTAAAACTTTAGTACAAATTTCAAAACTGAATGTAGACTGTATTATTCTGAGACGATGTGAGTATTTTTTTTTTGGGTTCCAATATGGGTTTTCTTCATTGTTTCTGGTTTTACCATAGTGATTAGTGAACGTTTATTAACTAACTGCTTTGCATACCCTATTCTACTTTGTTCCAAAACCTAACATCAAGCAAACAAACCACTCCTTTCTATCCATTCCTATCTAGATGCAAATTTGCCACTTCCTTCTGGCCAATAAATGGACAACAATGACTTATTTTCCCAATCGAATGCCCTTAGCGTAGAAAACACAGAAACGTGATGGACAAAATTCTCAGCTTGTCTACCCAATATTGTATAATTATACAAATCAAATGGAAATGAAATGAGAAGGCATCGGATTTTCGATAATGCTTTTTATATATCAATCCAATATGAAAGACCAGTTAAATACTTGACTCATGCCTTTATATTTAACACTAAAATCTAAAAAAAAAAATGACCTTAATTATATGACCTTAGTTATGTATATATTCAACTATTGTCAAAAGAAACATAATATAAAAGTGTCACAAAAACTCTCTTTTCACTGTTCATCATATCACTAAAGCCTCAATTAAGAATTTGTCTTCATGAATTTGTGAATGAAACTCCTCGACAAAAAGTTTGTCAAGGAATAGATTCAGCTTTGAAATGGTTGGAGTTGACGGCAATTCTGATTAATTGCTTTATGATTCGCGTTTTGGTTTTGCACCAAATTTTCTCCAAAAGGGTATTTAACGGTTCAGTTACGTAATCACCCACAAAGATGTCACCATCTTATAACGCCATATACACTAGAATTTCTATAAATTAATTGTGTTGGAAACATCAAAATTTATTAATTTAAAAAATTATTAAATAATCAATAAATTAATAAATTAGTAATTTGAAAAATTTCTATGAGAAAAAAGAAGCCATCACTAAATTACTTAATTTGTAATTGTCTTTACATCAAATCAATAAATCACTTTTTTTAAATTGATCAAGCATTAAAACTCTTCTAAATATTAAAAAAAAAATCTTTACATAATTCATATAAACTCCAGCGACTAGAAAACAAGTAACAACAGTTTTTTTTTTTTCTTTTAGGGGATCTATTAATTTATGATATTAACGAGACATAAAGATATATATATATATATGAGATTTTTTTAAATATTATTATTTTATTATTTTATTGATTATTTTCATTTTTTGTACTGATCCCAAGTTAGAACCGAAAAAAATTATTAATTGTTATAAGTTATTAATTTATATATTATTAATTTATCGACGTTCTACTGTAAACGAGAAATCCCATTTTTCTTCTCACTGTTTTGCCGGTATTTGTTGCAACTTTACTACTCATATATGTCAGGTCAGAAAAGGTGCTATGGCATGAGATTTCATTGTGGTGATTCCTGTACGTTGATCCATATTCAAATTAACAAGGGATAATTTCGTTTAAAAATTCATATAGTGTGGAGCATTTTAGCTAAGAACCAAATGCCGTAGCCACTCACTTGGACGTCCCAATGTAGGTTTCGTTTCCAGCTATAGCGAGATTTAAATTTGAGGTTTTTGGAAATTATGAATAGAAAAAAATTCATATTTATGTTATCAGTTAATATTTACTCTTTAGTTTTCTTTTTGAGATGCAATTGCTGGATATAATGTTCATATTTTAATTTTTATAATTAATCTTCTGAAAATAACCAATTTATTTTATTTTTTTGTAACAATTTTTTTTATTATAAGTAATTTAAAATATTTTCTAATAAATATATAATATACTATTTGTCACGATCTAAACTAGGACCTAATTTATTTTTAATACTAGAAACCCTAACATTGTCCGAACAATTCCCATGGCGGCGGCTTCACGTCCGCCAGACGATACTCGACCAACACCACCTTCTTTCGCACAAGTTCTCAATAGAACCAAGCCTAGCTCTCGCAGCTTGATTTATCCGGCAGCACAAGAGAAGAAGGAAGCTTCTTTTATCACATCCAAACCCTCCCTTTACAAAGGTGAGTCGGCCTTCCTACTGTCCAAAGAAGAAGATGCAAAACTGGCGGCCCCCTTTAAGTTTTCTCCCGTCGGAAAATTTTCAAAGGGGCGGCCGAAGATGGACTTCCTATGGCAAAGCTTCCGAACGGTTGGATTTAAAGGAAACTATTCACTCGGGATGATTGATCAGGCACATTCTTATACACTTTGATTTGGAAGAAGATTTCCATCAATGCTGGATCAAGGGGATTTGGTCTTTTGATCAACATGTAATGCGGGTATTGAAATGGACTCCACAGTTTAATACATCACAAGAATCGGAAATTGTTCCGGTTTGGATGGCTTTCGAAGGTCTGCCCATTCATCGCTTTTAATGAGGATTATTTGAGAATTTTGGCAAGCATTATCGGAACTCCACGCAAAATTGATGTCCGGACATTAAATTTATCGCGGCCCTCCATAGCAAGAATATGTGTGGAAATTGATTTACTCCATGAGTTATCGCAGAGAATTCGACTTGGTACAGAAGAGCACTTGTATTTTCAAGCAATCACGTATGAAAATCTGCCTGAATACTGCTTGGAATGCAGGAAAATTGGCTATGCTTCAAAGGAATGTGGACATGGAAAGTCTAAACCTTTGTTCAATGAAAAGCAGAAGATTCCTACGAATCACAATGAGAAAAAACACCAATTGACAATTCAAATCAGCAGACATGGAAAGAAAAAGTCCAGCCAAAAAAAGATAATGATGTGGTTGATGGAAACAAAGCTTCTTCATCAGGCGTCACTTCGGCGGAGAAGGAATAAATCCCGATTGATTTAACCGAGAAGTCCACGCCAATCATACCAGTAGCATCAGCAGAGAGGAAGATTTCTAAGCAACAATTAAGTTCAATTATTGAAAAGAATGGCACGGAAGAGAGCAGCTGGGATGATGAAGCTACTTGAAAAATTCCTATTTGGCAAAAAATTTTGATAAACAGCTCGTTGTCTACGACCTGAAGTTGAATCTTTCATCACGTTTTGACGTTCTGGCTGAAGTAGCTGATGATCAGGTCATAGCTGAGGTCAAGGCGAGTGTAGAAACCTTGATTCAAGTTGCAAA